TTCTCTTCACGGAAATGGATAGAGCAGAGGAAACAAGAAAACAACGGAGCTGAAAGGAAGCAAGAAAGGGAATAAAGAAACTAAATAAAGAATCAAATCATGGCATTAGTATACTCACCGAAGGAAAGACGCCACATGGAAAACCGCGACATAGATGGGAGGATGCTATTATGGTGTATTTGCACAAAGCAGGAAGTGTGGAGTCAGTTTCTAGCGAATGGGTCTGAAACAACATTCGTTTCTAGGTAACGGCTCGGTAAACATGTTCCCACGGCAACGGATAGGCCTGCAACAATAGAGGTAGTGTTGGAAACGATGTTTTCTGCTCGGGCCGCGCAAAGGGGTTACAAGGAGCACAATTGAAGCTCGTCAGAGAGGGAATTTTGGGTCCTATACCTCAACGGTGACCCTGCAAGACGTAGAAGTCGACGGAAAGGGAAGTCTCGAATCTGAGACAGTAAAATGTGGTCATGAGTCCCACGCGACTGATAACCGAGAATAACTGCGCTGGCTAGTGTCCGGAGCAATTGTAAATGAAAGACTCATTCTCTCATGAGAGAGGGCGCCCCACATCCATAAACCCTCAGCTGTCTGACAGTAATAAAAATCTGGCCGTAAGCCCCAGATGGGTGCTTTATTCCAAGACAGACTGGCCGACTGACCGTCGGTCGTAACATAAGACTCAGGTGTGCGCCGAGAGACTCCCGTGTCGGAGAAGACAGAAGCGACCCTCCTGTGGCATGTGCCTCTTTGGCCGGTCACTGGTGTACTCGACGCGATTCAAACCCAGTAATTGCCGATTGTAACGTCCAGAATGGTCCTAAGGCCCTAGCCGATAAAAAGCAAAAATTGGGGTGACAATCTGTGAAGGAAAACCGGATACTAATATCGCGTCACTTCCTGTACAGTCCTCGCAAGTCTGCGATCATGTTTGTGGCGTGTCCAAGCTCCTTAATGGATGGCCCGCCCACTGATAGATTCTAAACCGATTGATCAGAGTGCGTTGATTAATTGGGCTGAGGAAGACACTCGCCTTCCGCTGATGTAACGGTAAGAACAAAAATGGCGCTCCCATATAGGAAAATGTACACAACAATTTTAAGAATTATTTCAGTGAATAGTTCATTTACTCTACGAATCAGTAAACGTCATGCGGTCACATTTTATGCTAAGATGCTTTCCTGAGAACCTCGCATAATTCAAGAGAAATTTTGAAACACACGAATCTTGCCGGTTTTTATAGGGGGGGAATTCCCATTTTTTTCTAAACTTGGCTCATGACGTGAGACTTTGTTAATACTTTCGTATCGTACTATTTCAGTTTCGCATAAAATGCAACCGCGCTATATAGGCAACCGTGAAAAGGTAAAGCTATCCCTGTAAGAGGCCGTTGAGGCCCGTAGGGTTGTGAGACGTCGAGGCTTCCAACATTTTCTAGACAGTCGGCTCACAGATGGCGGTGAGGTCAGCCTTACACGCCGGCCGGCCGTCCTTTGCCCCCAGGAAGATTCCTGGTTCTCATTTGTGTTAGAGGCTAAGTCGACCGCAGGGCCATACTGCGGCTGGAAGGATTAGGTCAATTGAAAAATCTAATGACTTCATCGGGAATCGAATCCGCGACCTTCCGGCTTGTATTATAGTGGCTCAACCAACTACGTTACCACGTACCCCTATCCTGGGCCAGATCAATCCAGTCTACACAACCTCATCATATCTCTCTAGGATTCATTTTTAATATTATCCATCCAAGTCTTGGTCTTCCTAGTGGTCTCTTTCCTTCTGGCTTTCCCACCAATGTTCTGTGTGCATTCCTCTTCGTCCCCATTCGTGCTACATGCCCTGTCCATCTCATCCTCCTTGACTTGATCATTTTAATTATACTTATAGAAGAGTACAAGTTATGAAGTCCCTTATTTTGCAGTTTCCTCCAATCTCCTGTCACTTCATCCCTCTTCGGTCCAAATATTGTCCTCAGCACCCTGTTCTCAGACATCCTCAGTCTATGTGCCTCCCTTAATGTCAGAGACCAGATGTCCGCCTAATGGTTGCTTAGTCACTCAAGAAATTTCCAGCATTTGATGGAACCCGAAGGTTCATTCCCGTGTTTGTAAAATCCCACACTGGTCTTCGTCATCAGCCAAATGAGCCCAGTTCACAAGTTCCCACCCCATTTCTGTAAGATCCTTTTTAATATTGTCCCATCTACTTTTGAGTGTCCATAATGGTCTCTGGCATTCAGAATTTCCTACCAGGACTCTGTATGCTCTTCTCTCTCATTCGTGTTACATACTCAGCCCATCTCATCATTTATTTGATCAGTCTAATAATATATGGCGAAAAAGTACAAATGATTAAGCTCCGCTTAATGTAGTTTTCTCCAGTCTTCTCTCACGTTCTCCCTTTTAGGTGCAAATATTCTCCTCAGCTCCCTGTTGCCTGTCATGTTCACTCTACATTCTTCCCTTCATGTGAGTTACCAAGTTCTACACCCATACGAAACTGCAATCAAATTATAGTTTTATATATTTTAATGTTCTAAGTTTTAGATATCAGACGAAAGGACAAAGTATTCTGAACTGAATGCAAATTTCCTTCACATAAATGAAATACATACAAAATACATGTTTATCAAGTGATTCAGTATTGTCACATACTGTATGAGTGATTATAGACGGGGTTTGGATTGCTGAATAGATTTATTGACCAATTACACGTCGTAACTACAAATAACTAACACTATCTGTATTTGCACAATTTACAGTTCACTAGGGCACACAGTCTGGAGTTTCGGTCTTCTTATAATATATCAGCACGGACCACGTAGAAAACACCCCGTTTCCAGTGTTGTTCCTAACTGTTGCATTATTAAGAATCTGCTTCCTAGCAACGGGAACTTGTTTACCGAGCCGTTGCCCAGAAACGGTCGCTGTTTACAGAGTCAGCACTTAGCAACGGATCTATAGGCTAAAGTATAATTATCCTTACATCTCGTTTCTTACTAGAAATGACCTCTATAGCTGATGGGCGTCATTAAATTGTCTAAAATGAACGAATTGTTTAGTGAAACCATTGATAAGTCATTAACATGCTGTGTGAAGTTTGTTGTCTTGAAGTTTTACATTAACATCTTTTTTGTTTTTCCTTTAGAAACAGCACCTGTCTCTGTGGTTACGATATTTTGTTTCACTTCTTAGAACTTATCGTCTTGACGCTTGTTTCCGTTTATATATCATGGTAAGCAATCTGTAACACGACGTTACACTTATTGTACTTTTAAATTATGGTGAGGATGGAATTAAAATATCTACGAAGCTTTCAAAGTTATCTCTCAGATGGGGTTGTGTAAATCGCTGTGTTACTTAGCTTTACATAACTTGCGAGTTTGTGGGATAGCTTGACGTAATTCCTCCAGCAATTCAACGTACTCCAATAATATTCAGAAACTGGACGGCTTCCATTAGTGTCTTCTGCTTCTCAATGCTAATTAGCCCTTTAAAGCTTGAAGAGACAGAGAGATAGAGAGAGTGAGGGAGAAGAGTCAGTAGAGAGGGGCGGGGTTCTAAGACACTAAAGGTTACGGAGAGAAACAGAAATTTTCCTGCTCTCAAGGCTCTCGGGCAGTTCCCGCCTGTCTTTCGGGAGAATGTTGGTTGGAAAATGGTGAAGCCTTGCGAAGTGAAGAAGGCAAAGAAATGGAAGAAGGAGGAGGAGGTAAAGACTTGGAAAATGAATAAGGTGAAACTATGAAAATTGAAGAAGGTAAAGTGACGGAAAGTGAAAAAGGTAATGCCAGTGAAAGCGAAGAAGGCAAGACGAGGATTTGATTTTGTCGTGAGCACAGGAAAGGATTTAAGCAGGGGCTTTACGGCATTCGATCGGAATTTTGACATTATCTTTGGGGGGGGGGGGCTGTGTGATGAAATTTTTATTTAACACTGGAATGGCTACATTAGGTCGAAAAATTTGATGTTAACAATGGGAGGGCTGCATGTGAAGCAGGAGGTGCAACGTGGAACTTGCGTACAAATTCAGCATTTGTCCTAGGGTCAAAAAATCACGGGAAACAGTGATCGGTTTAACCTGACATGGGATTATCCGGATGAATTTCGTGTAATTAATATTATAAGAATTCAGTCTTTACCTCACAAGGAACACGTTACGTCTCCGCTACAGAGCCCAACCGGTTAATGCTGTTTGGGGAAACAGTCGCTGTTTATTGTGAGAACCATATGGAACACATAAATACACTGCGTGGGCAGAATGCAGAGTTTAGTGTATTAAAGCAAGTGATACATATAAGTGGCCACTGTGTTTAAATGATTAATTAAAAATTGTCACTACCGAAAATTTCTGTAATGTGGCCTGTTACCATACTCGTGGTTTACTGCGCCGTATTTGCTTGACATCGGGGGTTCAAATCTGTTCTGAGTCACATATGACTAAATTTGTCCCTACGTCTAAGCATCAGGCAATTAAATGCGGGGGAAGGGGTTGAAAGTAGAACTCCATCATTGATGACGTCAGCAACAGATGAATGTGAGCTGTGATTGTCAAATTGTGGGTGCTTTAATTCAACGGAAGCGTAAGTTGGTACTTACGTGATTGAAGAGCAGGTCTGTTTCCGTTTTCAGGTGAGAAAGGAAGACACCTGCTCAGTTGGGCCCCTTAGAAAGAGCTAATCTCAATCAGTGATTAAGGGGGCCCCGGTAATTCTGCACATCACCATAGTATATGCAGGGACAATTTCGCCTTTCTTTTACCTATAATTTAGAAGTTGGAGTAGAGATTCTCACATGATCATGAAGATAACATCTCCTGGAATGTGACCCCGTTTAATTCGGTAGGAATTTACAAATGCTTAGGAGGAACCTACTGCCTCTGTCTTCAGGTCGCGGGGTAAGGCGAGGTTGTCTGCACGCTCGCCTTGCTCCGCGACTACCCGCGCTGCACTGAGAGCGTGGCGTGTCACGTGAGCCGGTGTGTCTGCGTCTCTGTTGCAGCAGCAGCACGACCGCTACGTCGGACCGGCCCACGACCCATCCCGCGACTTGTCTCCCAACTTGCCGATCCATTCGTGCGACCCCACGTCCATGGGCGACGTGGAGCCCAGGAACGGAAACACCAGCAACTGTAGCACCCCCAACAGCGGCTGTGCCCATCTCCACCGACCTCTGCCGCCATGCAACAACAACTGCGAGACCAGTTTGTGCAGGGCCCCGTTCGATGGGCCCCGGCAGCACCGCGGGGGGCCCAGCGGCTCCTTCAGCGACTGTGATGCCTTCACCCCTCCTCTGTTGCACCCTAAGCTGGAGCAGCACCCCAACCCGGGGACACCCTCTACACCTCCGACCTCGGCCGATGACGTGGTGGTGTGCGCGGGGTGTGCCCACCGGATCTCCGACAGGTTTTATCTGCTAGCGGTGGACAGACGCTGGCATGCGTCCTGTCTCCAGTGTTGCCAGTGCCGACAGACGCTGGACGGGGAGACGAAATGTTACGCGAGGGAGGGCAACATCTACTGCAAGAAGGACTACTACAGGTAGGACATTCTGTAGCGCCTTGTTGCCATGGTAACATCTTGTTCTCAAGTTGCTCTGTAAGTGAATCCTAACAAGCGTCTGAAGCCCCTGTTCCGTTTAATAATGAGCTGTGTGAGAAAGGAAATTTCCGTGAAATGCTTTGAGCGCGACTCCCACTACCGCCATACGCCTCGTGATCACTGCTGTGTAGGGTGATGCACGGTATATACTCCATGCACTGCAAGAACGAGCTTGCGTCACCGTCAGTCAGTGACGTATACCGTTACGTCTTCATAATCTACTGTCTTCAACATAATTCCGGTGTTCATATGTCAGTGGGAAATCCAGACATATTTGTACAGGACTTTTGTTTCCGTAAGGTTGTTTATACTGAGCGACGTACCCCAGTATAAGGACTTTTGAATTTACTCCCACGAAGGGCAAGATGTTGCAGAAGAATACAAGAAGTTCTGGGAAGTACTGTTCACCTACTTTCCTTAGATACGACATGGACCTCATAGAAAACGACAACTAACAATTCTTCCCTGCCGCGAGAACGTGTTTACAGAGCCGTTACTTAGCAACGATAAGGGGATGCACAGACAGAACCACAGATTTTCCTATACGATACAGACCGCATAAAAATGACGCGTCCAATAGTTCTTATATTTTTGCGTGTATTCATTGCCGCGGGAAAGCGTTTAGTGAGCCGTTGCCTAGCAACAGTAGGGAACTGGTATTATAGATGGAAGGGATTTATGAAGTATACGCCGTTGAGGTGGTCCTTGGTGTCATGATATATACAGTATATACCGAGTTTTATAATGATTTGTTCAGGCAATCGAACGTTGATAGGGCTGATACACAGATAGCAAGGTGATATCATGAGCCTAGTTGTATTTTTCAAAACAGGGAAAGAGATTAAAAAAGAAGAGAAAAGTAAGGGAGAATCAGTGAAGGAGCAGAGAGACGAGGTTGGGGATTACAACGAGAAGGAGATTGAAGAGGGTTAAGGGGGAAGGAGAAGAGACGTAAAGAGAAAGAATAAGAATTCTAAGGCGCTGTCAGTAGCTCAGATGATGTGCCGTGGCAAAGTAGGTTGATTGGGGAATGAGGAATTGGGAAGGATTTGCCTAGAGAAGCAGGAAAACTACGGAAAGCTGGTCTCCTGGCCAAGATTCGAATCCACCATCTCCCGAAAGCAAATCTAGAGCGTTACTTTTAGACCACCCTGTTGGGTGAGAAGACGTGAGAAGGTGGAGAGGATGAAGTGAGGTGTTTACAGGGATAGTAGTTCAGACTGTGGTCTTCTAGGTGAATACCGACGTTTCGGAGGAACATCCTGCCTCCATTTTCAGGAATCAGATATAAATATTCTGAGGTTGTGGCAGCTCCTAGCTTTGTAAGACAATACCAATGTTTCGAGGGACATGCTGCCTCCATTTTCAGGGTTTAAGGTAAAGGCAGCACCTTCCTCCAGATCTCATCTTATGTATGACTGTATGATGTCACACCCAAAAAGTTCGGAATCTGAGGAAGATAAAATTATATTTTTTTGGCGTCGACTCCATGTCACGCTCTTGAGGAAAGTGCTCCGCGTATAGACTGACGCCTTGTAAAGTGCTCTCCACAGAGAAGGACGCCTTGTAAAGTGCTCTCCGGAGAGATGGACGTCTTTTAGGGTGCACTACGGAGAGACCGACGCCTTGTAGAGTGCACTGCACAGAGACCGACGCCTTGTGGAGTGCACTGCGGAGAGACTGATGCCTTGTGGAGTGCACTGCGGAGAGACTGATGCCTTGTGGAGTGCACTGCACAGAGACCGACGCCTTGTAGAGTGCATTACGGAGAGACTGACGCCTTGTAGAGTGCACTGCGGGGAGACCGACGCCTTGCTGAAGACTGAACAAGGTACTGAGACTGCCAAACGGGCAGATTGCATCGTGTGTGGCATCTCACGACCAGCTCGGGCAGCCACGTCTTCGTTCGTCCATTAGCCATCAGTGCGCGTTGTTGCCGATACTATCGCTACCCTGCAAACATAATAATTTGATTTGATTCTGAATTATTGTTTGCGACAGTTTGCTACGGTTGAGGGGACATAATCTGCTTACGGCTGGTTCGGGTGAAAGGTTCACAATAGGCGTGCAGTCAATAGGTTCTGCCCGAGCACAGGGATGCATTCACGTCTATCTTGATGTCATGACTGTGAAGATATCTGATGAACTCTATTGTCAACCCTAACTTGAAGACATCCGGCCTTGTAGACCCCTCGACTTAGTCTGGATAGCTCAGTAGGTATAGTGACGGAAAGATTTTTCTCTTCACATCATCCATACCGGCTCTGGGGCCTACCGTGCCTCCTGTCCAACGGATACCACGGGTGTAGCGGCCTGGACGTGTAGCTGATAACTCACCTCCATCTAGTGCCGAGGTCGAGAATGGTGGAGCTATACCTCCACTCCCCCATATGTATTTATGGCATAGCGCTGAAGTAATTAGAACTTTACCTTTTACCTGGCAGCGTCGGTAAACAACCAAATTATTACTAGTAAGCCAGGGACGTGAACTAAACTCGCACCCCCATGTAGTGGTGATGTTAGGAATATGTGGAGATTACAGCCAGTCCACCCATACGCCTTTATGGCGTGCCGCTCGGAATGAAGACAATGCGCTGTCACTGCAGTTGGTTCTGCTTTGATGGGCGAGTCTAACGTGATCGTGTGAACAGTGACATGAAGTCTCGTGGAGGGCGTGCAGGGGCGGGGGGAGGGGGGGAGATGCGCACGGAACTCACGAAATGCCCACGGCATATTCCTGGCCACTTATTTTACGGTTATAAACAAAACTTTCGTAATGATAGATAGTTGGTGTAGGGCAATGTTGAAATGACTCTGGTTCTACCAACTGGTGATTTACTGCTCATGCGCACTCCACGGCTGATGTAGCAAAGCAAACTTCTGGGAGTGGCCGATATTTATAGGTTATGTTGGTACCCGCCGTATCAGTTACGCAGGCTTTTAGGGGTCGAATTTGCTATTTTGTAGCTTACTTGACGACGCTGTCAGTAGCTAAGCTATATAGCGTCGAGTGTGCCATAGCTTGGGCGGTTAGTCGATGGCTTTGCCACCGCCGCGGACTGGGTTCAATCCCTGATCAGGTTATGTGGGATTTTTGATGGACGCAATGGCACAGGCAGGTTTTTTTTTCGAGTACTTCTGTTTCCCCTGCCAATTCTCGTTCCACCAGTGCTCCACACTCATCATCTGTCATCCGGGGCTGGTACAATAGAGCAATTAGCGGCCGGCGTACCAAGTGAATTCAGTTTCACCCGCAACCCAAGACATTAAACTGAAGAGATTAATGCATCTGTAATGGCAGTTATCTGGTAACGTAACCACGCTCATTAATCGTATTATCATCGATTCTATATAGTCTTAATAGTGATAGCGTCAGCTTTACGCCCCGGCCGCGCTTCACCCTCCCGACCAAAGAGCCCATGTTACTAATTGGATAGGAGGCTGGAGGAGACAAATTTTTTGCCCCCACCTGCTGCGAATCGAACCCTGGTAGTCCAGCCCACAGCCCATCGCTATTCATATCGCCTCCAGTATGGGGAGCACATTAAAAGTTTATTTTCTGAGACATTTTCATCGTATGGGTGACTAAAGACGAGGTTCGTATCGGTAATTAGATTTATTAATATCCTACAGGTCGAAACTACAATTAATTATTACACTATCGCTGCTTTGCACAATTTACAATCAGTCCACCCTAATCTCTTCAGTCTGTTATTTTTTATTGCTAGTGGGATGGGACTAAGTCCCTTGTACTGCGGCCACTTCTGGCCTATTGTACCAGCCCCAGATGATAGGTGAGGGTGATTGTGGAGCAACTGGTGGAATGAAGATTGGCAGGGGAGACCGAAGAACTCGGAGAAAACCTGCCGCAGCGCCACTTTGTCCATCACAAATTCCACTTGACCAGACCCGGGACCGAACCCGGGCCGCCGCGGTGGGAAGCCAGCGACTAACCGCTTGAGCTATGGCGCGGCCTAATCTCTTCAGTCTATTTGCACTAGTCTACACGGGAACTATAACAGTCTCACTGAATCACGTACTCCAAATATTACACATAAATGAAATCTCCTATCACACGTTAAGTCTTCACAGACCGACTTCTAGTTCTTCAACTACGAACTTCCCGTGGCTATCTCCTCGCTTGCTTGTTCGCGTGCTCCTGCCTCTACTGGTACACGGAACTCGTAACTGCCCTGAAGGAATTCTGTCACTCTTACTTAACAAGCCGCGGAACGGACATGAATCTACAGTAAAGACATCACATGATCGCTATCCAGCCAGTCTATTGGCGCGTCGGTCGGATCTACAGAAAACACGGCTTCATCTGTTATTGCGTGTTGGGACGTATTGACAGTTGTTGCCTGACAACGCGCTGATCAAATCCTTTTACAATATTGTCATATGTAGCATAGTCTACGTATCTCAAATGATGATGATAAAGAAATACATGTAGAATTTTGGTGAGAGAGCTATACCGAATACCTAGATTTAGTTTGGAGGATAACATTAAAATGGATCGTAGAGAAATAGGATGTGGTGGTTTGGACTTGGTTGAACTGGCTCAGGATAGGAACCAATGGAGGGCTCTTGTGAACATGACATTGAACCATGGGGGTTCCATAAAATTTGGAGGAAATTATTGAGTACCTGAGCAACCGGCGGCTTCTCAAAAACGGCTCAGCTTCATGGAGCTAGTTAATATAATGAAAGTTGTCTCGACCTAGTCTCACCCAGCAGAGACAAAAGTTAATTAGATACTTTAGGGTTCTGACGATGGTGTATAACAGAGATACTGGGTTTTCGGACTTTGTCCATCGTCCTGATTCTCTGTGTAAGCAGTATATTTTGTGTAAAATATTGCGAGAAATATATGGGACTGGAACATTATATCCATTAAATTATTTCTTTTCTTTGATAAATGGAAAAATGACCGCCGTTAC